AGATTGGACCTGACCATTCTCTGCTCTTGTTGCCAGGATTCTAGAATCGGCGACCTCGATGCTTTCCCTCCACTCGATGCAGCGATGCCCCTGAGCAGAGCTCCTTTCTCCTCCTCCGATGCGGCAGACCAATGTGGGAAGTGGATGCCTACTTGATTAGGCCAAGCAGCCTACGCCATGCGCGTGCTCTGCCAGGCTTGGCCGGTCTGGCCACCAAGGCGACGATGCAGTTGACGACCGCTCTCTGCGCTTGCTGCGAGGATTCTGGAATCGACGATCGCCGGTGTGCACAAGAAAGCTAGCAATGTCGAGATATCCTGTGTGCAAATGGATGCGGCGGCGCTTGGAGGAAGAACAATGGAGGGCAGAGTAAGATCTTTCGGGCAAAAGGATGAGCTCGAGCTTGGAACTCCAACAATGGGGGTGGGGTGCTCAGCAAGGAACTGTGGCCAAAACACAGCACGCAACCTATGAGGGGAAAGTGATGCACACCGTAAAAACCACTGGGTAATACGATGCACGGGAGGATGACGGAAAGTGGAGATGGTGACCTAACTCTCGTCAGGACCGTCACCTCTCCATCGCCAGCCCACGTTATTGACTTCGCCACTCCTATCCGCGTGGTGCACAGTACACTGGATGACTGACTGCGCGGCTCAGCCCTACCAGCACTAACGAGCGCGCCCTAAGAGGTTGGCAGGGGACTAATGAGAGTGATGGGGAGAAATCTCCATGTGAGCCTACAGTGGCTCGTTTAGCCTACTTTTGTATAGGGTAAATAAACAGGATAGACCCCAATGTCAATCATAGCTAAATAATCTTGTGCAATACCCATGTTTCTCTTCTTTTGCTTTGTACATAATTATGTAAATACTTTTTATATTAATATACCGCAGTAGAAGCCTCTCCTGCTGTTTCTTCTAAAAAATACTACAGCTTATAGGGTGGTATTTACAATTTTCCCTATTTTGTTTATTTCAATTCGGTGAATAGATTTCAATAATCAAAAAACATGGATAATAATTATTTTACGATGCATATTATTACATTCACTCATCAGAATCTCTCCCTGAATAAGTATCGAAACAAAATCATAGTGATTTAGCAGAAAATTACACATAGGGTGTATTTACGGTGAATCATTTGACTCCGACAAGCACAAAGGAAGAAAAGAAAAATCTCCTAGGTGCTAGCGCCAAATACTAGGGATGCAACTGAGCAGACAAGCGGGATTATTATACCTGTTTATCCCACTTCTAGTTTTTTTTTCTTCTAAATTTGTATTATTATGTGAGAAATGAACTAGCAAGCGGGTTTTTATATGAGAGTGAGATTGCCCACTTACATCCCTACCATATACGCACGACAGATGGTAGAGTAGTGGCCTTAGGTTCTATTCTAGCCCTTTTGGTTTAGGCTTATAAGCCAGTCTATAAGTTTATTTGGAAACTAAAGGTGCCAATTAAGATTAAGATATTTTTGTGGTTTTTTTCAAAGGTGTCATTCTAACAAGGATAATTTAGTGAGAAGAAATTGGAATGTGAGTCAAAGATATTGTTTTTATATGTATAATGAGATTATTCAACATTTTTTTTATTGCCATATTGCAAAATTTGTTTGGAGAATCCTTTGGACTGAAACCCCCCGATAGTATATCTAATATGGTTGGAATTGGCTAAGTGGTATTGAGTCAAAACTAAGAATCTCGTATTTGTCGGAGCATCCGCTCAATGTTGTGCTCTGTGGTTGGGTAGAAATGGTGTAGTTTTTGATAAATGTCCAAATAAATCTTATATGCAAATGTAGGTGTTTTTCAGGGCAACTTACTAGCTCCGGTTTTGGGCACATGTTCAAAAGTGTGAAGAGAACAAGGAGCTCATATATTCTACATATCGAAACTTAGAATTTACGGTAATGCAGATTTTCACTAACTACGGATGGAGATTCACAAATAGACTTCAATAATTGTTTACTCCTTATGTGTTGGCTTTATTATTTAAATTATTTTTGGTTGCCTGAGTGTTTGCTCTCTTTGTAACAATTGGTTGTAGTTTCTTTAAAGCAAAGGCCGGATTTAATTCCATTATCAAAAAAAGTCAATCCATAAGTAAAAAATTCTAAATATAAACAAACAAGCATCCTTTTTGTTTGGTTTATTTAAAGCTAAAAGCCACTCTTATACTATTAAGTCAAAAGTTAGATCGGAGAAGGGTTTTTTTTTTTTTTTTTTTTTTTTTTTTTTTTTTTTTTTTTTTTGCTTATATGAGTTGGAGATATGACTCCACCATTAAACTTAGAACTTTAAATCTGTTGGCTTAATAATCATATAAGCTAAAAAGCTGACTTAATAGTCTAAGTCAATAAGTCTAAGCCTAAACAAAGAAAGTCACCGGGTAAAGGCAGGTCCTGATTGCATGGAGACGCAAGAGTGCCGCGCTCCTCTAATGTGATATTAGACTTCATTTTAATAATATGAAACATATTCCAATATTTCTATTAGATCCTATTTTTAAAAAAAAACAAAAGGCCATAAGAAACAACTCCATTTCAATTGTAAGCACTCTAGTAGTTCTACTAAAAATAGATTTCATCTTATATTTTTGTTGTATGTACACCCTACCCCTCTATGAGCATCTCCAAAAAAAACTGGTCCGGTATATCTTGAGATTAACGAAGTCATCATAGATACCTCATTATCGATGGGTACGTCACTTATCACCGAAAGAACAATTAACCATAAATATGAGCACACATATCAAATCTAGGACTGTAAATTGGATAGATGGTTCCACCACATGAAAAAATTAATAAGTTGAGCTAAGCTCAATAATTTTTTTAACCAACTACAACAGGGCATGCCTGTGCTGGTGATTTTTTTTTCATTAACAAATGGGGGTGAAAGTGTATGCAAGAAGTAGAGGGAATAAAGAAGGGAAAGCAAGAATCTGGTAAAGTCCGAAAGAAACTGGTTTTCCAGTCTAGACTGGCATTCGAAACATTTTTCAACAATTTAGATCCCTCGTGGTTGACTATACTTTTACCCCACAAATTTTGGAACTTGATATAAAATGTTTCTTACAAATGTTTAACAACTTTGATGTGGCACCAATTTATCAAAAAATACAACCTCATGCGTAGTGAGGATAAGCTCAACTGGTTAGCCTCTGGTGGTGAAATTCTAGACTTGATACAAATGCTGAGCATTTACAGTTATTTATTTTTTTAGTATTAGACGATGTATCTATCACCTGCAAGACCCTTTTAGTAATACATGATGTTCCTGTCAACAACGAGACAGCTATGTGAAGTGTATGTATAACCGTCTGTCTTTGTGTGAGGTGTACGTACAGGCGTTTGTCTTTGTGTGAGGTGTACGCATAGGTGCATCCTGTGTGGGGTGTACGTACAGGCGTGTACTGTATTAGCCTATATGGTGTTAAAAAAATCCCTCCTCATTATATCGGGTATAGATTACTTCTTGAAACAAGGGGGAAAAATAAATGGTTTCAAAGTTGAGGGGTTTTGCTTAGTCATCACTCATCAGCGCAATAAAATCTTGAGGGGTTTTACTAATACCTCTGGTAGTACTGAGAATCAAAAGGTGTTTTCCTTAAAAAAAAAAAGAGAGGTGTTTCGAACAAATGTGATAGTTGAGGTGTTGATATGGACTTTCCTATAAACTTTCAGTGCCAATAAATCTTCAGTGCAGATAAAGCAATTTTGCCAAATGAAAGGTATCAAAACATAACAGGCAATTGCTGCCTTTCATGAAAAAATAACTTCTATTGTCTTCGGGGTATTGTACCCTCTTTGGAGAGTTCGATATCCATGTCTACCGTAAAATGGTGCTTTCTATTAAACACTCTCATAATCGATGTTAAACCACCGGCAAACAATCAATCTCTACGGATAATTATGCACTCATAAACTCATAAATGATTCTAAACTCATATTATAACTGTATAATCACCAAAAAAATATCGTCAGCACATGTAACGAGCTGATTAGTTCTGCATACACAAAACTGTACATCACCATAGTTAAGCCAAAGGCGGATCACACAAGGCTTCTTTTCTGTTGAGCTGTAGTAGTATTGCTAGTAGTTCTTGGGTCACTGTCCACATATGGTAGACATCAAAATATTATTGGGGAATTGGCAGTAAGCCAATAAATAATTTTATAAATGAAACTAGTAGCAGTGAAAGCAATCCTCAATTTATGGAACACAGACCAGCACAGATAGGCAAACAAACCAAGAACGCAACGAAATATCTTAAATGCTTGTTTGGATCAGTCCTCAGTGGGAGTTGCAGCCAATCACTTTGATGAGAGGAGATTTTCTTCGACTTGAAACCACAATCCGAAGGGATTGGGGCATTCAGCAATACTCCTTTGCATCCAAACAAGCCTTAGAATGAAACTTTTTGCCTGCCAGCAGAAATTTTCTAGAGAGTTCATTATTTAGAACTCCAGTATTTTACAAAATGAATCATCTGATAGTCAATTCCTTGAGCACAAAAAAAAGGGACTGCAGAAGTCTTGACAAGTCCTGGTACTTTATAAGCCCCGATGTTGATGTGATTCCTAACCATTCAAATCAAACGGGGGATGGATTCAACAACCAACAAACTCAACATCGAAATAACCAGTTCGAAAACAATGTATGCAAACGGCAAACCTATCAGAGTACATTGTGCCAAACCATGTTTTTGTTTTTTGGGGGATAATGGAAATCAATCCAGCCTCTACATCAACATGTATCTACACAGTGTCAAACCATGTCAGTATCACCTCAATAAAGCCTTTCCAGAAGACATAATGACCAGGTTGACCCTCATACTTTAGATCAGCAATAGCAATCCTGCAGAATAGACTACGCATGGAAAAAGTAACATGCCAAAGCAAAAAAGAGAAAAGCATATCCGGACATGAAAAGATTAAAGACAACATAACATCAGTGAGTTGTGGGCACACTCCATGAACAGTAGGGGTATACCAGATTCCAGGGGGCCAGGAGAAGCACTACCTTCTATGCTTATCCAAATTCCAAAACCAAAAGCAAGATGCTTCACGATACACCATTTCAAAAGGTGGACATCCCCTCCTCAGGGTCACTTAAGTCCTCTCCATAGTACTAAATCCACATAACTATCTGTCTGTGATTAAGGTTTCAGAGAAATATAAAAAAAACTGTGGGCCTGTGATAGCACATGTGATCAATTAGGCAATGTTGTTGTCAATTTTGAGTTCAGGTCGGCATTACCTTTTTCCCTAGGGAACTTTATACAGTAGTGAGTAAAAGAATACATAAAATAGGAACTTGAACCAAAAGAGACATACATTAAGGGACAAAGTTAAAGCTACCTTTTGCATCTAGGTAAGAGCTAAACAAACTCACCGAACTTTCTTTCGGGACTTGAAAGGGAACCCACCAGGTGGAGACGGTGAGAACTCCAATGGGAGGTGCGGAGGTTCTCCCTCGCCAGACAGCATTCGGAGTACCTCCTCACTTGATGGTCGACGAGCTGGAGACCTTTGGATGCAAAGGAGTGCGACTGTAATGCAGAGTAAAACCTCATCACGGTTCACATCCTGTAGGGCTGGATCAACAAGATCAATCAAGCGGCTCACGCGCGCAAGATGTTTCGCCCACGATATGAGGCTTGCCTTCTCAAACTCAGACATGGGTGAGGCCGTCACTTGCAACGGCCGGCGTCCTGAGATAAGTACCAGTAGCAAGACACCGTAGCTATAGATATCGCATCTCTCAGACAAAGGACCACCACCACCGTATTCAGGAGCCACATAGCACACCGTGCCGCGCATGCTCGGTGTGCTGCTCACCGCGCCACTACTCTTGGGAACGAATTCCCCACTTGCCCAATCACGGGTGCTTCTTGCACCATTGACCCACCAGTTAATACTGCCATTGCCGTTGCCATTGCCATTGCCAGTGCTGCCATTGCTTCTCCGACTCCAGCTCTTCATCATACTCCATTTGGATCGTCCCTTTGCATCCAAGTCATCGTCAATATCCCGCTCCCACCATTGCAACCCTGCCTGCTCGCTCTTTGATTTAGCAAGTGCACGTCGTTTCTGCTTTTTCGCAAGCTCATCAGCATATTCTTCTCGCCACCATTCTCGTGCCCTCCTCTTTGGCTTCTTCCTGTCTGCAGCTGGATTGGTAATAGCTGCCCCTGCAATCCAGTCATTCTTGGGGCGCTCCTTCTTGATCTCTGATCTAATCCACTCCATCACATAATCTTTTACACCATTGCTGCCCCCACCATTATCCTGCTTCCACCACCAGTCACTCCCGGTACCTGATCCCATGGTACCTCCGGTGCGTGACCCTCCACCGTTGCAGCTGCGGCTATTCATACCACTCTCAACACTGGTCCGGTCAAACCCGGAAGTGGACGCAGCTTCCGCCGGTGATGCCGATGTGAAGCCATCGTCATCCTCCGGTGATTTGGGGTTCCCCTCACCATTCACCGTGGTGGTGACCGTGCTCTCCGCTATGACAGAGGCGTCATCATCACATCCCCCATCGACGTCACATCCTTCCGCAATCGCGCCGCTCTCAGGCTTGCCGTCCGCATCTGCGTCGGAATTGATGCGGGAGAGACCAAAGTCGGCGAGGCGGGCGCGGAGATCCGTGTCGAGCAGGACGTTGCTGGGCTTGACGTCGCCGTGCACGACCGGCGGCTTAACGACGGAGTGGAGGTAATGGAGCGCGGCGGCCACGTCGCGGGCGACGGCAAGGCGGCGGGGCCACTCCGCCACGAGCTCCGGGCAGCGCCGCCCCAGCAGCGCGTCCTGCAGCGACCCGTTGGGCATGAGGTCGTACACCAGCATCATCCGCCGCGGCCGCCCCTCGCCCCGCGCCGCGGACGACATCGAGTACGCGAACGGCAGCAGTATGGAGTCCCGCCCCTTCCCACCCGGCTTGGCGGCGGCGTCGGGGACAGGAGGGGATCCCGGCGCGGACGACGACGCGAGGAGGTGGGACGCGACGGCGATCTCGTTGTGGAACTCCCGCTCCCCCTGCAGCGACCCCGCGGCATCCATCACCTTCACGGCGACGGGCCTCCCCGCCCCGTCGCCGCGGATTGCTCCCGCCGCCGTCGTCGTCGGCGGGAGCGCGCCGCGGAACACGGGGCCGAACCCCCCCTGCCCGAGCTTGCTCCCCGCCGCGAATCCCCCCGTCGCGCGCCGCAGCTTCCGGTAGGACAGCCGCTGCAGCCTCCCTGCCGCGGCCACCACCTCATCCGCCTCCCCCTTCCCCTTCCCCCTCCTCCTCCTCAGCCACCACAGCAGCGCGACCACCACCAGCACCGCCACGGCCCCAGCCCCCGCCGCCCCCGCCGCCGCGGCGACAGCTACTGAGCGGCGGCGGGCGACGTCAGGCCGAGGCGGCGGAGGCGGCGGCGGTGGCGGCGGCTGGCGCGAGGGCATCGGGAGCGGGAGGCGAGTGGGAGATGGCGCAAAGCGGGTTGGCTTTCCACCACCATTAGCTACCACCTCCGGCTCTCCGAGGTCTCCTCCTTTGCAGATGAGGAATTGTGAGAGGAATTCAGAGAAGACGCATTCCTGTGTACCCTTCACGTGTGCGCCTACGGTGTTTCGCTGAGCGGTGGGGACAGAAGAGTGTGGGGCCCACTGTCAGTGGGATGGGGGATGGGGGTGAGTGGGTGAATGAGGGCATCGGTGGACGGATGCGGGGGGAGGAAATGAGGGCTCGTAATCAGGGATTAATTAAGGGGGACGAGAAGTGATGAGAAAGTAAAGCGGTTTGGGGTTGGATAGTCAATGTAGGCCGGGTCTATAGGCCACGAGATACGGTGGCCCGGCCAGCAGGTGCCGAACCACGTGGAGGTGTAGTAGCGGGGTAGAACCACTTGAATTTTAAGCGTGGTGTTTTGATATAGTGACTAAATTTTAAGTCCATGTTATATTAGATGTTTAATACTAATTAAAATTATTAAATATAAATTAATATTAAAATTAATTGCATAAGTGTGAGCTAATTTGCGAGACACATTTTTTAAGCCTAATTAATTTATAATTAGCACATATTTATTATAGCATCACATAGGTTAATCATGGATTAATTAGGCTCAATGAATTTGTCTCACGAATTAGTCTAGAGTTCTGAGATGGGTTTTATCATTAGTCTACATTTAATACTTCTAATTAGTGTCCAAACATCCGATGTGACAGGGACTCATCCAAATGGCCCCTAAATTTCGGGAGGAGTATTAGTACTCCATCGGTCCCTAAATATAAAAAGTTTTAGAGTTGGACACGGTTATTAAGAAAGTAGGTAGAAGTGAACGATGGAGGGTTGTAATTGGATGAGTGGTGGAGGTAGATGAAAAAAGCGAATAGTAGAGGGTTGTGATTGGTTGGGAAGAGAATGTTGGTAGAGAAATTGTTATATTTTGGGACAAATCTTAAGGTCTACTCCCTCCGTCCCAAAAAAAGGCAAACCCTAGGTTTCCGTGTCCAATTTTGACTGTCCGTCTTATATGAAATTTTTTTATAATTCGTATTTTCATTATTGTTAGATGATAAAACATGATTAATATTTTATATGTGACTTGTCTTTTTAATTTTTTTTCATATTTTTTTCAAATAGGACGAACGGTCAAACGTTGGACACGGAAACCAGGGTTTGCCTTTTTTTGGGACGGAGGGAGTAAACGTTGTTATATGTTAGGACGGAGAGAGTAGCATTTTAAATTTTATGCACAATTTTAGAAACGTTAGGAGTATATTTTTGTCATTTTGGTTGCTAAGCTCTTCGTGTAGAACCGTTAAAGACCAGAAGCGGAATTTTTTTTGGTTGTTTTGTTCGCGTGTCTTGGCCGTACGCAAGTCATCCTGAAAATTCTTAAACCCGGGCGACTGGCGCGGAGGAGCCCGATCAGGCGCTCCCCCTGCGACTATGCGAGCCCCTCCCCCACGCGCTGCATGCAGGCCCTCCGCGTCTTTGCTCCTATCTGTCATTGCAACAAATCACCCACATATTTTGGAAACCCTCTATTAAGGTAATTTGGTTTATTTTTTGTTCAACCAAAAATGTTTCACCTAGTGTACTCACAATGTTTCACTATGTATAGATCTAATATTGCAGTGAACTGAAATATTCCATTGCAACAAAAAAACCCACATATTTTGGAAACCCCCTATTAAGAGAATTCGGTTCATTTTTTGTTCCACCGAAAAATGTTTCACCTAGTGTACTTATAATATTTCACCATGTATGGATCAAATGTTGCAGTGAACTGAAATATTCTTTCACTATTTGCTGAAACATTGTTTTTATATAAGGTAAAACAATACCCGATTTAAACGAGTGAAACATTTTCGATCTACTCAGTAAAACAATTCCGATATACCTGGTGAAACATCGTGCAACATTTAAAAATAATTCAATAATAATTTTTAAAAAAATCGTCGGAATATATCCATATGTGATTTTGTTTTGAAGATTTAATTGCAACGAATGTAATGGTAATCGGATCATGATTTGGATAAGTAATTTAAGAGAAAAATCAGTTTAAAAGTAGTTTTGCACGTAAATCGGACGCTGACATCAGCATCCAGTTTTTCTCCAAATCGATCGGGAGCCCGACCTGTAGACTCGTCCAAGTCATCCTATTAAAAACAAGTAAAGTTGAGTATCGTAAATTTGTTGTACTAAAAACACTATCATTGCTATTGGTCAAACCGACTCAGTGCCAACAACTACTACCTCTGTTTGAGATTACAAATATTTTGGCTTTGGCGTAAAACTACAATTAAATTTATATTTAAATATTAGTTTATCTACAACAACAAATTATTTTCATTAAATTTATAATTAAATATATTTTTATCGTGTATATTGTGTTGAATATGTTATTATTTTTTTAATAAACTTTGGTCAAACTTAAGGCTGTTTGACTTTGAGCAAAATCAAAATGACTTATAATCTAAAACGGAGGGATTTTCTTAAAAAAAATTGAATCGTGCCATTATATATATATATGGGATGTGCTTCGACTAGTTTTTTTCATACCGTATTTTCTTATAAACCAAAATATCGCTCGCTATTTCTTCTCTCCACCTCGATGACTTGTGTGCCCTAGCATCATCCCTTGCGTCTCTCCTGTTCGCCTGGATCTGGTGGTGATGAGGACCAATACGTAAACAAGAAACCTTCAAGTAGAGCACAATATTTCAACAATGGCGGTGGTGAGGACTGTGAACCCAAACACGTCGGTGGCCCCCTCCAACCCTTTTCTCACACGACCAACTATGCGAGACATCAGTGGACCACGATAGTTTTGAGAGGCATCTGCGACAGGTCAACAGCAACATCCACAAGATCTAGACGAGTGAGGGTGTTGTCATCCGATACTCAATCTTGACCTTCATCGACCGTCGAGAATCGCCTCGCCTCTCTGGTGACATGAGGTGTGTGCGTCACCATCAATGCTTTCTTCCCACTCTCGATGAGATCCTTGTCAAATCCGGCACATCCTCATCCGTGACGTTTGCGAAGCCCGCAAGGAAAAGCTTGACGACACCATTGACATCTCGTAGTTCCTTCTTGCCGTCAACGAGCTCGTGCAAGGGCTTCAACCCAAATGACACAGCTTCCCTAGCCTTCATCTCCCTCGCTGATGAGGTCACTGCAGCCTCATCCTCTCAATGTCCGCGCTGCATAGCCATGGCCCATCGACGCCGCCTCCTCTAGCCACTGGTAGCCTTGAGAATAGAGGAGCCAAGGAGAGAGGTGAAGAGACGGGGAAGAGAGAAGTGAGGGGGGATGGAGGACGAAGATGGAACTGATCGGTGAGTCCCATGTGCAGATTGTGTATTTTTGTCCATCCAAAAATACAATAGAGAAAAACGATTCAAAACATGTGATACCTACAAATGACGTTATGCAATTTTGAAGGTATTGTAATCAATTGGTTACATATAGGTGAATATTAGTGACATTTTTTAATACAATAAATTTATAATGGCATGATCAAATTTATCGAAAATATTTGCTAATGTCATTTCGACATAAAATGGAAACTCCAATTTACATTTTTTTGGACTTTCTGATCCGCTTAAAGATTTGTGCACTACGGTATTCTTCTCTCGCTCTGACGAGCTTAATTATTGATATTCGATGACGACAGCGGTGGCTCTAACCAGTTAGGTATCGGGGTTTGGGGTTGGAGAGGGTCTGCAATAGTCCCTCCATTCTAAAATGACTTAATATTTGCCTTATCTTGTTTGTTTCAAAATAACTTACCTATCATCGGCAAGCCAAACGAGTTTTGTTCCTTCAATACACTTTACCAATCTTCAACTTATTTTTCACCACTACTATTTTTCTATTAATAAGTTTTTTTTTTCCCTCCTTCATCTATTTTGTTTTGCACACTCAAGACTAAGAATGAAGTTATCTTCAGACAGAGAGAGTATAGACGTAAGGATAGACTTAAATTATTTGTCTGACCTACGGAGATTCAGCTTCTAGCACCGGCCAAATCAAAGCTAGCCCTCGCTTTAAAGAAAAAAAAAAGGAGAGTATTGGCTGGTGGATGTCGACCACCTCAATTTGTGTTTTTTTTCTGGGACACCTTAATTTGTGTTTTGAAACCAATCTTGGGTGATTTAACTCGGTCCTACTATGCTAGGACTGATTATACATACCATGTGCAGAGTTCAATATTAGAAACAGATAATCAGATAGTATTGGACCAGAGAAATCTAAACGTTGTAAAATGCCTCCGTTAATCTAGCATTAATGAAGGGATGTACTTCGAGTGTTAATATTACTCCATATAATAACAACATTACAACACTATAAAATTATTTTATTTACAAAAAGTAGTTATTGAGTGTGCGTGCGTTGTACTGTGTAATTCTAAAAAAAATCACCGCAAGATTTGAAGGGAATTTGACTATTTGCCACTTTTAAATTAGGCAATTATTCAAATACTCTTCTAGGTGTGCAGTTACTTTTTTTCCCTCTAAAGAGGTGGCCTCTTAACTATTTGCCACTTAATTTTAACCATAAGGCATGCCAACGTGGCAACCTAGGGTGAAAAATGGCATGGGGCCCACCCGTCAGTTTATCCCTCCCTTTCATCTCTCCCATGCACGTCCATGGCCCCCGTCGACACCGGCACCACCCCGCTGCTCCATCGTGCCCGCACCACGTCGATGTCGGCATCGCCTCGTAACCGACCACCGCCGGAACCGCCTAACAGCTGACGCCGAGAGCCCTGTCACCGCCTAGCTGGCATTGCTTCGCAGCCGAGAGCTAAGCACCGCAGCACCACTGTTGTTGGAGGAGGAGGACGAGGAGAGGCAGGAGCTAATGGAGGATGACGAGGGAGATGAGCAGGAGGAGCACCATCACCACGGGGCAAAGCTGCGCACCACGGCTGAAGCGCCGCCTTACGGCCATGGGTGAGTGGGACCGTGCAACATCGTTGCGCGGCTTGGATGCAGGCGCACGCGTTTGTGCAATGTGACGCAGCTTTCCTCCACCTCCCTTCCCTCTCGCCATTGCCACTGGAGATGTCGTGGTCGTCCACCTCGCCGTCGGCTATGCAACGACGCTGTGCATCTAGCACACCCGCATGGTGATGACCGTGTGAAAGAGTTGCAGAGGACTACTGGTGGAGGGATGTGCCGGTGAGGCTCCCTGGCGTCAGTTGCG